CTGGACAATCTTTTTCCATGCAGTGTACAAATCAATTCTCTATCCAACTGACCAAAAAAACTTAAGTGTTGTTTGGTTTGTTTGTTTTGATTTTTAGGGCAGGGTCTCACTTTGTTTCCTTGAGTAGTGTGAGGCTGACAATCCTAACCATGTTGGCCTCAAATTTAAAAGTCCACATCCTTCTGCCATGCCACTTCTCAGTCATTTCTTACCTATCTTCATTTATCTCTAAGGATTCACTAAGGGCTATCATTTTTCTCTCCTAAATGCTTTTCAAATCTGTCTTGTAGGTGGTTCCAAACTTTATTATTTCCTAGGACCAAAAATCCAGACTTTTTGTTTGTTTGTTTTTTTTGAGACAGGGTTAAATCCAGACTTTTTATAAATCTACTTTCTAATCCACATATCTGGTTATGTGTTGAATCCTTTGGTGAGTAACATGATCCACATTTTAGGGTGAAGTGTCTTTTATAGAGTACAAGCCACTCTGTAAAGCTGTTTTCCATCTTCATCTTTTCTTCAATCACCATTCCATATATACTAGATTTGTTTTCTGGTTTGGAAGTTTAATTTGTTTTTGTTACTGTCTTGAGAATTATCTCATGTGGCCCAGTATGGCCTTAAATTCACTCTATAGCTGAGAAGAGCCTTGCTTCCACCTCCCAAGCACTAGAATGACAAGCATACACCAGCTTCTCAGCCGTTTGGAATGACATAAAGTTTACTGAACGGTCCATGCTCGCCGTAGCTTTGCTACCTTTGAATGTACTATATTTCTTTTTGTATTGTATTGTAGCCTCCCTTTCTTTCACTACATAATTGTTACTTATATTTGAAGACATAATTCTAATGCCCTTATTTTTTGAGCCAGAATCATTATCCTAGAAAGGGAATTGTTTCTGTTCTGTGGTCTTGTATTTTGTTTAGTTTTTTTTATTATAACACACAGCAAAAAAAGTGGTTGTTTCATGTATAGTTATTACATTACACTGAAACATTGACAACAACTAGGCTTTCTTTACTCTGGGGTCTGTAATTGCCTGTTTCATACTTGGAATGCTATGGATACTTAAAAAGAGTTTAACTTATCTGTAAAGTTTATTTTTTCTTTCTCTTCCTAATACTTTTTAAAGTGTTTTATGAGTACTGGTGTTTTGTCTACATGTGTATGCACATGGTGGCCAGAACAGGGCATTGGTCCCTTAGAACTGGAGTACTAGACAGATCCAAACCACCATGTGGGTCTTTGGAATTGAACCCAAGAGCTCTGGGAAACCTGCCAGTACTCTTAACTGTTGAGTCGTCTCTCCAACATCTAAATACTTGGATACTTTTTTTTAATGTGTGTATACCATGGTTGTGGGATGAGTCCAGAAAAGGATGTCAGATACCCTGGAGCTGGAGTTAGTGGGTAGTTTAGAGCCACCTGATATGGGTACTGGGAACTAAACTTGGGTCCTATTGAAAAGAAAGAAACCTCTTAAGGATCATCTCTTAGAACCCCTCCTTTGAATACCTTTTATTAAAAAGTATCACTGCTTTCATTGAGGATGAGATGACCAAAAAATATGTCAATCTGATAGAAGAAAAAAGTAATCTCAATATTAATTTGGGTTGATTTTGAATGCTATCTTAAAAGATTACAGCTGGAATTCTCTTTGGTCTTCCCCTTAATAGTACTATGTACTAGCAGGAACTTTAAAATGACCTTAGTCAAAATGCTTTGCAGATTAACAGCGATAATGCATGCCTATAATACTAGCACCAAGAAGCCAAGGTTGGAGAACCATGAATTCTCAGCCAGCCTAAGCTACATAGTTACATGCTAACTATGTAGCATCAAAAATAAGCAGGGCCAGCCCGTGAGATAGCTCGGTGGGTAAAGGTAATTGCTGCCATGTCGATAATCTGAATTTGATTCCCAGAACTTATGTGGTGGAAGGAGAGAATGAACTCTGGTAACTTACCCTCTGACCTCCACATATATGTACACATACTAAATAAAAAGTGTAATAAATAATAAAAATGTATATATGAAAGCCAGGCATATGAGAACTGGAGAGATAGCTCAGCAATTAAGAGCACTTCCTGTTCTTCCAAAGTTCACTCCCAGCACCACATCAGGTGGCTCACAACTACCCATAACTCCAGCTCTAGGAGGTCCAGATCCTTCTGACGGCCTCTACAGATTCCTATCCACATATGCCATACCCAGATACACACAGACATACATTTAAAAATCCATATGTTTTTAAAAGAAAGCCAACCCTAGTGATAAGGTTGTGTAATACAGCACTTGGAAGGTTGTGACTAGAGGATCAAAACTCATTCTTGACTACATAGCAGATTTGAGGCGAGCCCAAGATATTGTCTCAAAGAAGCAAAATAATGATGAAAATGAAAGAAAGGCAAGAGACAATTGCCTTAAAATAGTGGTTCTCAACTGTACTAATGTTCTAACTCTTTAATACAGTTCCTCATGTTGTGACCCCCATCATGAATTATTTCATTGCTACTTAATAGCTGTAATTTTGCTACTGTTTTGAATTGTAATGTAAACATTTGATATGCAAGACATCTAACATGAGACACCACCACCTCAACCCTTAAAGGGGTAGAGACTCACAGGTTGAGCCTTAAAATGTATATTGCCATGTTGTTTAAATTTGAATCAAATTTCAGCACCCATTTTCTTCCCCTTTCACAAACATACAAATTTAGCCATGAGAGATTTGCTGACCTGCTGCCTGTGGGAGTGTATTAATAGGGAGATTAATAGATTATTGAGTCTACTTACGGACTTTTCCAAACTCTACTACAAAAGTTATTGTTGTAACAGGCATTGTTATACACACCTACAATCCCAGCACATGGTAGAGTAGGAGGATCAAGAATTGAAAGTCACTTGGTAGTGGTGGCGCACGCCTTTAATCCCAGCACTTGGGAGGCAGAGGCAGGCGGATTTCTGAGTTCGAGGCCAGCCTGGTCTACAGAGTGAGTTCCAGGACAGCCAGGGCTACACAGAGAAACCCTGTCTCGAAAAACAAAAAGCAAAAAACAAACAAAAAAAAAGACAATGTCAAGAGAGAGTTTGTTAATAGGCTTTGAGTGTGAATAGGATTATATAATAAAATTTTATGAGCCTTATTTTTTTTCTCTTTTGTTTGTGTTTTGAACAAGGAGTTCTCATATTTCAAACTGGCCTCATATTCTGAGCCAAGCAGCCAAGGATGACTTTGAATTCCTAAACCTCCTACCTCTGTTTCCCAAGTACTGGAATTAGAAGCATGCACTACTATACCTGGCTAGCATCTATTAAAAACAAACAAAAAAGCACCTTTGTTGTTTTGACTGTATGAAAAAGAGTAGTCATTGGTTTCTAAGAGAATAACCTGGCTGGAGAGATGGCTCAGTGGTTAAAAGCACTGACTGCTCTTCCAGAGGTCCTGAGTTCAATTCCCAGCAACCACATGGTGGCTCACAACCACCTGTAATGGGATCCGATGCCCTCTTCTAGTGTGTCTGAAGAGAGCAATGGTGTTGTCATATACATAAAAAATAGATAAATAAATCTAAAAAGAAAGAAGAAAAGAAAAAAGAGAATAACCATTCAAAGACTGTAAGCTCAAAAAGAGTCACACTCTGTTAAGTGACAACCACCGTATCAGCTGAAAAAGGAGACAGCATATCCACTGTAAATTAGCAGGAAACTCTTTACTTCTTAAGTTTTGTAAATTATCCACTCAGTTATAATCAATACAATCATTTACTCAATACTGGTTTAAATTTATTTCTGCTTCATTCAGAGTCAATATTCAGGTAACCATCAGATTCTATTTTATTAACTTTGTTGGCAAATAACATTTCATTTCCACACCAACTTTGTCACTTTAGGTTCCTGTCAACCTGACCTGCGTTACAACAATTCCTTATTTAATACTTTACTTTTAGGTTTGTCCCTGAAATTCCTCCTTATTTGACACTTCTAAAGTAATTACTTAAAACTATGTTCACTTGGAGCTGGGAGTATACCTGAGTTCATATCGTGAGGGCCTCGATCTCATCCTTTATGCTCTCAAGCATACATGCATACATTCTTATTCTCACTCATTCTCTCCCTCCCCCTCCCCCACACATACACACACACACATCCCTACCTTAGCTTAATACCTGCAAGACAACATCCAGACCTCTTAGCTTGTTTCCCACCATAAAAAATGTTTGATGATCTCTTTAGTTCTAAATATTATATTTCCCCAATGGGTCTTCTCTTCAAATCCTCGTGAATATATGCACACAAACACAAAGCATATATCTAAGTCACAATTATATATACAAATGTCACAAGTTACTCACCTTTCAAGGGTTGATCATGAGTTTTCTCTTGGTAAAGTCTTCATATTTTAATTCTTCATCAAAGTCCTTTCCATTTGCCCTTCCTTTACAAGTCTATATTTGTGAATTCCTTTATTACTTTGGATCTACTTGAGTAAATTTCAGGTTCCTTCAGAGCAACAACCAGTTCAGCTACATTTGAGTAATTACAACTGATGATACTATTCACGCCCTGCCAACTCCTTTTCATCCTACTTGTTACCTTAGGTTTACCCTTAAGGGCTTCTACAAAACTAAATGTAAAGATGCAAAGCTTAGTAAGTCACAAAGTACTTGACAAAAGGAAGACAAAAATGCATAAAGTGGAAATTTTCCCTATGTGTGCCAGAGGATTATAATACCTGGTACTTGAAGGTAAAGCTACCATTTTTCTAGAGTTTTCACTATTGTCACAAAGTTCCCCTTTATTAAAATATTAAAATTAAGTGGGGAAAAACTTTTCTAAATTTCTGTTTGATTTTAAAATAATAACAAGCTGTAACTGGGAAACACATGTGATGAAATTCATAAACATGTCTGTCTGCTTAATTTAGGAAGATTTGCCATCTGCTAAAGAAGAGAGATTTCCAGCCATCCACAAACCTATTGCTGTTGGCTCTCAGCCAGTGCTCACTGTTGGTACAACCCACATTTCTAAGCTGACAGATGACCAGCTCATAAAGGAGTTCCTAAGTGGCTCTTACTGCTTTCATGGGGTAAGAAAGTGAAACTGTAATTTAAATTATTATCTTAAAACCTTACATGTGGCAGTTACCTAACCCATGGCCATTAGGAGCACTGAACAAAAGTGCCTACAGAGAGCGCACAGGGTCATGCCGTCACCAGTGGACATTTCCCTTGTATCGTCACTCCCCCACCCCCCATCTCTGCAGTCTCATCCACACCCGTTCCTTATATGCTCTCTACTCATAAACGGTTGACATTTCCTTTGGCATCCTTGTATGATTTTGGTTAATGGTTAGAATGGGCATCAGTGATTTATTTCTCACATTTTGGTTATGCAACAATTGAGAGTTCAAATTTGAGGTACATTTAAAAGGTAACATTTGCTCTGACTATTAAGACCAGTGTAAATACACTCAAAGGTATAGTTTGGGGTTTTTTGCTGGGGTTTAGGGGTGTTTTGAGACAGGGACTCACATATAGCCCTGGCTATTCTAAAACTCACTGTATAGACCAGGCTGTCATGTTTTGGTTTTGTTGTTTTCGTTTTAAACCATACCGTTGATTTTATAGATCATAAAAACTATATATACTTCCCATTATCATGTGACATTGTTACATCAGTCTTCCTTCTCTGTGTATAACTTTATCTGTTTCTTTCCTTTAGGGTGTTGGTTGGTGGAAATATGAATTCTGCTATGGCAAACACGTACATCAATATCACGAGGTATAGAATAGCAACAATCCAGGTTTATTTGTTTTGTAGTACTAGAGCTCAAGTATTCTTAACATTGAACTACATCTGTGACAGCTGGAGATTTGGCTCAGCAGTTTAGCATGTGCACTGCTCTTGTAGAGAACCCAGGTTTGATTCCCAGCACCCATATAAGGCAACTCACAACTGTCTGTTAACTCTAGCTCTAGGAAATCCAGAGCCTCCTGTACCCCTACAGTTTCCTGTACTCAAAGTGTACAACATACACTTAGACACATAATTTAAAAATTAATAAATCTTTAAAATCTGTGGAAAAAAAGAAAGGCTTTAATGCTACTCTTAATAGTGAGGTAATTTTAATATGGAAATACTAACCAGAGTATTCCCAGTTTTTAGAAACTGGAAAACTTATTATTAACTGATTTCAGTCACCTTGAAAGAACAATGCTTGTTAACTATCTGTATTCTTAAACTACCCTGAGCCTAGTAGATTAATAGGCTATCAGGGCTGTTCTTTTTGTTTTTTTGTTTTTGTTTGTTTTTCGAGACAGGGTTTCTCTTTATAGCCCAGGCTGTCCTGGAACTCACTCTGTAGACCAGGCTGGTCTCAAACTCAGATCCACCTGCCTCTGCCTCTCAAGTGTATTGGGGCTGTTCTAATTTAGAGTTATTCTTCTAATTCATTCTTAAGAAATGAATAAATAGTAGAATAGTACATTGATTACAGAATTAATCAAACTTGGTAAATGTTCCACCTTTCTCGGCTAAAAGAAAGTACTATTTAATCTTCTGTTTTAACCCAAGCTACCTACAAACACTCTCTATAGCTAGGAAAGACTTTGAACATCTGATCCTCCTGCCTCTACCTACTGAGTACTAGGATTACATGAATGCCCTAATATACTGCCTTTTTAAAATGGTGCTAGGTGTCAAGCTCAGGTCTTTCTATATGCTAGGCAAGCACTCTATGAACTGAGCCGAATCCCCAAGCCACTATGAAAGTATTTTAATGAGCATTTTAGATAGTTACATTAGTCTACTTTTTCAGAGTTTTTGTTGGTATTACTTGGTTTGGGTTGGGTTAAGTTGAAGGTTTTAATTTTTTTTGAATTGTTTTGGGTTTGTTTAGTTTGGGGGCTTTGGTTGGTTTGGGTTTTTGGAGGCTTGGTTGGTTGGTTGGTTGGTTGGCTAGTTGAGACTGGGTGTTACTAACTCAGAATGTCTTGATGATTCAACCCCCCTAAGTATTGGGGTTACAGGTATGCAGACTGAAAAAAAAATGCCTTTCAGAAAGTTAATACTGCTATTTTAATGACTCTTTTTTATATACTTAACACATTCCCATATAATTTACCAAATTTAATTTGTCCTAGGTCTTGTAACCTATAATTTTCTGATGGATCTACTAGGTTATTAGTATTAAAATACAATATTCTAATACTATATAGATATATATGTATAGAATAATAATAGAATATAATATATAGAATTAATATATATATTAGAAAATAATATACCAGGTACTTTATATGTTAACTCATTTAATCTCAAAACACCTTTCAGAAGTCAGTCCAGTTATCCCAAGTTTCAGGAACAAAAACAAGGTCTTACGTAAGCAATAAATAATAAGAGTGGACTTTAGACTCGCACGGTCTTGCTTCCTGTGCTGCTGCTTTCTAGACATTTTGTGCCTGATCCCTGTCTGGAAATTAACAAGTCTAGTTGTTGGGGCCAAACGAACAAACAAAGAAACAAAAATAGACGGAAAGAAATGTAATAGCTATTTTCCTTTAGGCAATAAAGTCTACTAGGGAAGTGACTGAATGTTTCACTGGGGGCAAGAACTTACCTTTTTTTGTTTTGTTTGTTTGGTTTTTTTTGGTTTTTTGAGACAGGGTTTCTCTGTGTAGCCCTGGCTATCCTGGAACTCACTCTGTAGACCAGGCTGGCCTCGAACTCAGAAATCCGCCTGCCTCTGCCTCCCAAGTGCTGGAATTAAAGGCGTGCGCCACCACTGCCCAGCTAAGAACTTACTTTTTAAGATAAAGTATAGTGTTTTATTTTGTTTTCTTTAAGAAAAAATAATAAAGGCAGAGTCAAGAAAGGATTCTGTATGGTTTTCATACAGAAATGAGTGTGCCATCAAATAAACTGTGGAGATTGTAAAACTTTAAAGTTCTTATTTAAAAGTAGAGGGATGAAGTGACGATAAACTGTAAGGTAAGGCGTCTTAGTCCATTTTTGTACTGTTTTAATAGCATACTACAAACTGGATAACTTAATAAGAAACGAACCTAGATTTCACATTTCTAGAGATTATCAAAGTATCTGCTATCTGGTAAGGTCCTTCTTGTTTCATCTAATGACACAAAGCAAGAGGAAAGGGGATGAGAACTCTTTCAGCTGTGTAGAGATGGCTTAGTGATTCACAGAGCTAACTGTTCTTTCAAAGGACCAGGCTTCAGTTTCCAGCATTACGTGGTCACTTACAAGCATCTGTAACTCCAGTCCTAGAAAATCCAACATCCTGTTCTGGTCACCTGGGCAGCAGGTATCCATGCACTGCACAGACATACATACAGACAAGATACCCATATACCTAAATTAATTTTTTAGTGTAGAAGGGGTGGAACCTTAAACTCAGAGCCTCCTGTCATAAGGATACAGTACTCAAGACTTAAATATCACCCATCAGTTTCTATTTCTCCATGCTTGTAAATTTAGGAATGTTTTGGGAGTGATTCATTCAACTCATAACAGCATCACAGTAGTGGTGTGTAAAGTACTTCCCCAGTATGTTTTTTCTTTATTTTTTTTCTTTCAGAAATTATTCATTTATTATCATTGTATGTGTACATGATATAAACAGAAATGTATATCATGGGTCTGATGCCCCTCTCCTCTCAAAACATGAGAGTAGTATTATATGATTGCATAAAATACGTATGAGCAATTAAATTTTTATTTTAGGAGGTTGAGGTGCTGGTATTGAATCAAAAAAAAAAAGGTTCTGGCAAAATGCCTCAGCAAATGAAAGAATGTGCTGTGTAAGTCTGACAACCTGAGTTTGAGCCCAGATCCTGTGGTGGAAGGGAAAGACAGCTCCAAAGAGTTGTCTTCTGGCCTACCCACACAGCACTGTGAGTACATATGCCTTCACACACATAAAGAAACTAAAGGAAAACATCTCCAGGAAGAAATTGATACAACAAAAAGAGAGATAGGAGAAGGAAAAGATATTGAGTCACAGGTTACTATATCTGGAGTTAGGCTAAATTATATTATTCATAGAAACAGAATAAAGATCACTTAAATTCTACTTCCTCATTTTGACTGACATCATCACATCATTATCCAGTAAGTGGATGAAGATGAGGATGGGATTATAGGAGGATCTACTTACGTCAAACATGCATTACTACAGACACTGTCACGGGCACCCTATGGCTCAGTCGGTGAAGGCACCTGATGCCAAGACTGACAACTGAGCATATACAAGAAAAGGTAAATGCAATTTTAAACTTTAGTGTTTTTCTGTATACTAGGACAAAGATAATGGGAGAACTTCTGTAGTTGTGGGGACATGGAACCAAGAAGAGCATGTTGAGTGGGCTAAGAAAAATACTGCTAGAGCTTATCATCTTCAAGACGATGGCACCCAGACAGTCAGGTAAAGACTATTTGCCTTTAAAACTTGACTGTTATGGAAGATTTGGGGGAAGGATCATGGACCCAAAGAACTGCACAGGAAAACCAACAGCATCAACTAACCTGGACCCTTGGGGCTCTCAAGAGACTGAATACCAACCAAAGAGCATACACAGGCTAAACCTATAGCCTCTACACATGTGCAGCTTGGTCTTCTTGTGGGTCCCCCAACAACAGGGGCTATCCCTAAAGCTGTTGCCTCTCTGTGGAATATGGTCCCCTAACTAGGCTGCCTTGTCTGGCCTCAGTGATAGAGGATGCTCTTTGCCCTGTAGAGACTTGATGTGCCAAGGTGGGGGGATACACAGTAGGGGGTCTGGAGAGAGATGGGAGGTGGGACTGTGTGAGCTGGGGGGTCATGAGGGTGGGCAGCAATCAGGATATAAAGTGAATTAAAATATGCAAAAATAAAATAATAAAAAGACTTAATTTTTGAGGGCCAATTTTTTTTTAAATTTATTTGTTATCTCATATAGTACATCCTAGTGGCCACAATTTTCCCTCCTTCCTCTCCTCCCAGCTCCCCCAACTCCCCACCGCACCAGGAGGACCTTCCTTCAGGGATATCAGCCAAACATGGCATATCAAGTTACAATAGGACGAGGCACCTCCCCTCATTAAGGCCAGATGAGGCAACCTAGTAGGAGGACAAGAGTCCCAAAAGTAGGCAAATCCATCAGAAACAGATCCCACTCCCACTTCTAAGAGTCTCACCAAAAAAAAAAAAAAAAAAGCTATACAACTTTAACACATATGCAGAGGGCCTAGGTTAGACCAAAGCATACTCCCTGGTTGTAGGTTCACTCTTAGCCCCCTGAGATCAGGTTTGTTGATTCTTTGGGTTTTCTTATTCCCACAGACCCTTCCTTTCCCCACCCCACCCCCATCTTCAGCAGGATTCTCTGAGCTCTGCCTAATGTTTGGGTGTGGGTCTCTGTATCTCTTCCTATCAGTTGCTGGGTAAAATCTCTCTGACAGTTGTGCTAAGCATCAATCTATGAGTATAGCAGAATATCATTAGGCATCATTTCATTGACTTTTTTTTTGGCCAGTCCTGTTTGGTTCTATCCTGGGTCTCTGGGTCTTCCAGGCAGTATCAGGGATAGGCTCCATCTCATGGCATGAGTCTCAAGCTGGACCAGTCATTGGTTAGCCACTCCCACAAGACCTGTGCCAGAACCTGGCAGAACAATTTGTAGGTCAAAGGCTTTGTGCCCATGTTCGTGTCTAGTGGTGAAGTCCCACCACTAGAAGCCTTGCATGATTAAAGGATATGGCTGGTTCAAGCTTTCTATCCTCCCCCCATTATTAGAAGTCTTAGATAGGGTCACCCTAATAGATTCCTAGGAGTGTTCATTGCATTAGGTTTCTACCTTGACCACAAACTGCTTCCCAATTCCAGTTGTCTCTCCCAGTCCTCTCTCCCCACCTGATTCCCTGGTCCTGCTCCCCAGACCACCTGTAACATCTATTGTTTCCTGTTCCCAGGGGCGTCCATGGATCTCCCATCTTGATCCCTCCTTGTCACTTAGCTCCTCTAGGTCTGTGGATTGTGGCACAATTATCCTCTACAATTAATATCCATTTATAAGTGAATACATACCATGTTTGTCTTTCTGAGTTACCTCACTCAAGATGATCTTTTCTAGTTCCAACTGTTTGCCTGCAAATTTCAGATATTATTGTTTTTAACAGCTTAGTAATACTCCATTGTGAAAGTATAGCATATTTTCTTTATCCATTCTTTGGTTGAAGGACATCTGGGTTGTTTCCAGTTTCTGGCTATTGTGAATAAAGCTGCTATGAAATAGTTGAGCACATGTCCTTGTGGTAGGATGGAGCATCTTTCAGGTGTATGCCCCAGGAGTGGTATGTATAGCTGGAGCTTGAGGTAGATCCATTCCCAATTTTCTAAGAAACTGCCATATTGACTTCCATAGTGGCTGTACAAGTTTGCACTCTGCAACCAGCAATGGAGGAGTGTTCCCCTTGCCAGCATGTGGTGTCACTAGTGTTTTTGATCTTAACCATTCTGACAGGTGTAGATGGAATCTCAGAGTTGTTTTGATTTGCACTTTCCTGATGGCTAAGGATGTTGAATATTTCTTAAGTGTTTCCTCTGTTGATTCTCTACTTAGATCTGTACCCCACTTTAAAATGGGTTATTTGGTTTGATAGTGTCTAATTTCTTGAGTTCTTTATATATACTTGGATATTAATTAACTTTGTCAGATGTAGGGTTGGTAAAAATCTTTTCCCATTCTATAGGCTGCTGTTTTGTCCTATTGACAGTATTGGTTTTTTTTTTTTTTTTGCTGTTGTTGTTGTTGTTTTGTTTTGTTTTGCCTTACAGAAGCTTTTCCGTTTCATGAGATCCCATTTTTATTGATCTTAGTGCTTGTGCTATTAGTGTTTTATTCAGGAAGTTGTCTCCTGTACTGGTCCATTCAAAGCTATTCCCCATTTTCTCTTCTATCAGGTTCAGTGTATCTGGTTTTATGTGAAGCTATTTGATCCACTTCGACTTGAAAAACTCAAAATGTTGACAGATTAAAATTTTAACTATACAGATCAGGACATGATGCTGCATGCCTTTAATCCCAGCATTTGGGAGACGTAGCAGTCAGATTTCTGAGTTCGAGGCCAGCTGAACTCCGAAACTCTATTTAGTGAGTTCCAGGGCAGCCACCATTATATAGAGAGACCCTGTCTTTACAAAAAAAAAAAAAAAATTAAATTTAAATTTAAACATGGGTAATATTTTAGGTCAGTACTATTTAGGGAACAGCCTTTAGATTCCTTTCCTTTGCAGAAAGAAGCAACCCAGTGTCAAGAACACAGTCATCAACTGCACATGGTGATGCATGTCTTTAATATAAACCAGGGCTAGATAGAGAAACCTTGTCTTAAAAAAAAGAAGCCAGTTATGGAGATACTGCCTAGGTTCAAATGCTGGCTGGCTCTTCCATAGTAGTACCTTAGGAAAAAATTAAATGACCTGTAAGCTTCACATATCTACTAGTGTATCCTTCTAAGGTCATGAAGACATTTAAATAATAACCTACCCTAGCTATAACATGCAGTAAACTGCAAGCTGCCTTTAATACTGATGGCGATCTACGACTGGCAGTGATGTTCATGACAATGACTCCATTCGTGTGTTTGGTTTTGTTGTTCTTTTTTCTCTTTAAGATTTATTTATTTTTACTGTATGTGCTTGAGTGTTTGCCTGAGTGTGTGTGTGTGTGTGCGCGCGCGTGCGCGCGCGTGCACTTGCGTGCCATATGTGCACCTGTTGCCTACAATGGCTAATGGAGGGTGTTGGATTCCTTGGAAATAGAGTTACAGACAGTTGTGAGCTGCCACATGGTACTGAAAATTGAACCCAGATCCTCTTGAGAGAGCAGTGAATGCTTTTAACCACTGAACCATCTCAATTTTATTCCTTTGTGTAGTGAGGGAGATTTAACCCTTCATCCATCCTAGATAAGCGCTCTAACACTGAGCTAAGTCCCCACTTCTAACAGTTTGGTTTGGTTAGAACTGAGGTTGACATTTGTGTTTGTACGTTTTTAACTGGTTCAATGTACTTTGTCATTCCCTCTTGTTACTTAGTTTTTGTTAGGTAGAGCTCACTTACCTTTTGTGCTATATAGATATATTTTATTAAACCAAACATAAGTTAATCTTACTTCTCAAGAATAAGTTCTTCAGCTTTTCTTATAATCTCATATCCAGTGAATTTAAAAGATTAATTCTTGTTCCTTCTCAAATGCTAATTTTTGTTTCTTCCTGGAACAGAGAGTATTTAGAAATTATTTTTAAAAAATATGCTGACTTTTCAGGCTGACCAAAGTCTTAAGTTAGGAAAATAAAAATAGAACTATCTAAATGTTCAATGTGCCAGATATTTTTTATGACTTCATGTGTTCAACACTGAAGCATAGCAGAGTGTGACCAGAAAACATAAAACATAAAACTTTTCTTTAGATATTGCTCACTCTGAGAGTGACACTTTGGCAGAGCCTTGGTTTTTTTTTTTTTTTTTTTTGGTACCATATACAAGAATGTATAATGGGATAAACTTGATGGAAAACAGAAACGAAGATTAGTTTCACCAAACAATATGCTGAGCTGGGCAAGTGGGTATCTTTAAAACAGTAACTTTTATTACTTTGTTTTGGTTGGTTGGGATAGGCCTCAAGCTCACGGCAATCCTGCATCTTTATCCTCCCAAGGGCTGCTGTCAGAGGTATTTGAGTAACCATACCAAGCTCAGAAAACTTTGAATCTGACCTATATGTAATATGGACACCATTAAGAAAGATAGTACAAAGTTTCTCTAATTTGTATTTTCCTTATAGACTCTGACTCTGTGATGTAACCTTCTCACCTACCCATTACACTTATTCTAATTAATGAGACTGTAATAAAGCTTGTATGTTTCTCCAACTCAGGATGGTATCACATTTTTATGGAAATGGGGATATTTGTGATATAACTGACAAACCCAGACAGGTGACTGTAAAACTAAAGTAAGTTGAATCCTTCTCTTTTACCTACTTTTTATTGACAAAAGTTTTACATAGATATAATAACTAAATAAATTACTAAATTGTGTTTTAAATTAAAATAGCTAGTTATTAAATTACTAAATTTAAGTTAAATTATGTTGGGTCTACTTAAAGTTTTTATATATTAATAGGATAACAAAAATACCTGTTTTTTATGACATAGGCAGTACCTTAAAGTGCTCTGTATTTTAGGTGTAAAGAATCAGATTCTCCTCATGCTGTCACTGTGTATATGCTTGAGCCTCACTCCTGCCAGTATATTCTTGGGGTAAGTAAAATGAAAATAATCAAGAGTTCACTTAGAGGCTAAGTGGCAGAATGCTTACCCTGAGTGCAGGAAGTCCTAGATCCAATCCCAATACCACCAACTGAAAAGAATTTAATGTTGGACATATTTGAATTTTTGGTGTTAAGTCTATAAGGGCATTCTTTATGCCTAGCATGCATGAAGCCCTGGGTTTAATTCTTAGTACCACATAAAACCAACCAGATATGGGGATGCACCTGTAATCCCAGTGCTTAAGAGGTAGAGGCATAAGAATAAGTTGTTCAAGGTCAAAGCCAGCCTGGCATGTATGAGATCCTGTCTCACAGCACAGGTCTTAAATGCTGAGTTTGATTATTTAACAATTTTAAATAGCATTGTAAATATCATCCAAAATAAGGTTTGCCACAGCAGAAAGTTCTCTCAGACCCCTGATCAGGTAGGTATCCAAAAGATGCCTCTTTTCAGTTTTTCATACGATAGATTAGGTTTGCTTCCTTTGGGATGCCACATGAATGGAGTTCCATTGTGTGTCTGGTTTCCCATACTCAAAAATGTTGAATATATCAGAACTTTGTTCTGTTTTCATTGCCACATCCTATTCTTTTCTTTGTAAGTATACTCTTCTACAGATGAACATTTAATTCATTTTTCTTTTTTTTTTTTTTTTGGTTATAATGAATAAGGCCTCTATGTTTTCATTCATTATGGTTACATACCTGTGTGTAGAATTTCTAAGTCATGGGTAAAAATACCTTCTATCAAATGACTCACCAAAATGCTACTGTTATTTAATCTCCTACCAGCAGCAGTACATGAAAGTCAGAGTGCACTTACTCTGTCTCCTCACTAGCTTTTTTTTCAGTCTTTCTTGTTAGTTATTTAGTGGGTTTAGTTTGCACTCCTCATACAGTTAATGATACGGAATACCTTTTCATGTCATTGTGGTATTCATTTATGTTTGTGAAGCTTTACATCTAGCCAGGCTTTACTAAACAAAAGGTTATCCTGCTACTTCTTAAAATGGTTAGGAAGACTTTATTCACTACTGTTTTTATTAGTACCAAGACTTACATGAAAGACATTTGATTGAAATGCATTGTATACATGTATGAAATCCCAAATGGATGGATGGATGGATGGATGGATGGATGGATGGATGGAATGAATGAGACTATTGCAATAGCAGAAACAGGTAAAGCTCCGCTCTGAATTCAGAAGAGACAGTAACTCAGAATCAGTAGCCACTAGATTTAGATTTAGTAAATAGAAAATCACAGAAAATAAGCAGTAAGCACCTAGACTTCTATTTTAAAAAATAGATCTATTTATTCTATATATGTGAGTACATTGTAGTTCTCTTCAGACACACCAGAAGAAGGCACCAGATCTCATTATAGATGGTTGTGAGCCACCATGTGGTTGCTGGGAATTGAACTCAGGACCTCTGGAAGAGCAGTCAGTGCTCTTAACCACTGAGGAATCTCCCAGATCTTGGCTTCTTACAAAAGCAAGCCAGAGTGACCAGATATTGAGTGTGGAGGTTCTCTCTCTTGGTATAAATGGACTAGTCAGGCCAGAGACATGGCGCAAGGCATAATTTGACAGAGGCTCAGGGGAACCTGACTACTGGTTAAAGAATAGAGTTTGTGTCAGTCTCTTACCTGAGTATTTTTTCTATTGGCACTTATCTTCTGATTGCTTGATTCTAGGAGCTCAAAAATAGTCTGGATATAAACTGTTTGTATCGTACACACATTTTTTTATACTCTGGCTTCCTCTTGTTCATTGTCTTCTGATAAACAAAACTATATTCTATTAGTTTTTTTCTCTTTTTTTCTTTTATGGTTACTGTGTTTTGTGTTCCAAGAATTTTTTGTTGCCTTAGTCACGGACACACTCTCTTACCATTTTCTTCTAGAGATTCCATAATACTGACTTTGATTTAAGTGTGCCTTTTTCTGTTTTTATCCTCTGTGAAGCTATCCTCATAGCTTCTAGAACTTGTGGGTTCATAAAAATTTTAGAAAAAAAAATTGCCATTATCGTCTCAAATATTTCTTTTGCCCTACTCTTTTTTCCATGTTTCTGAAACTGCTTAAACATACATATGTGAAACTGTCTCAAAATCTCAAAAACTTCCTTTTATTTCCACCCACTCCTGCCCTATCCCATGTTTAAAGGCAAATCATTTCTGTCAGCCTTCCCCAGCTTCACTGATTACTTCCTTTGCCATGTCCAGTCCATTGATGAGTTCATCTGTGAAACACTTTTTATCTGTTAATATTTCCATTGGATTTTTATTATTTATTTTCCTCTATTTAAATTCTCTTTGGTCACATGCTCTCTACTGTTTTCCCTGATATATGTTTGGTTTTTTCTTTTGTTGTTTTGTTTTTTCACAATTATTATGACAAATGACTCATCCTTTAAGTTAGTGTTTACTTTGCCTTATAAGTAGAACTGATAGTTTTGCTGTAGTGTTTTACTGTTTTAGTGATATAACTCTGAGAGATAAAAATATTTTACTGAGAGATAACAATATTTTCACCTATGATGCTTTTATATGAGTGATTAAACTTGTTTTTCTGAAAGCCTTATTATTTATGTTTGGCATCAAGAAACTTGTCTGTAACCCAGCACTCAGGATTGCCAAAAGTTCAAGGCTAGTCAGGGATACCTAGCATGACACAATCTCAAAAGAGAAAAGGGAAGGGGGCTGGGGAGAGAGAGAAGAGCCTGATTTGTAGGGGAAATGTTGGGTTGTTTATCCAAATCATGACCTTACATATTTAGCAAATATATTCATTGAGAAGATTCTGAGGAAATGTTCACCTTACCAACTTTCTAATATCATTATTATTCTTTAGGTTGAATCTCCAGTAATCTGTAAAATTCTAGATACAGCTGATGAAAATGGACTTCTTTCTCTCCCCAATTAAAGGATATTAAAGTTGAAGGAAAGAAAGATAATTGAAAATCATCACTTCCTCCTGACCATATCTCATTGTAGAGTCTCACCATTGGACATTGTCTATAGTATCACAAAAAAATGACTGGCAACCACACTGTGAAATTCCTGTGTATATAAGAGATTATGGATAAACTTGTAAGGCAGATCCTTGTCTCACTTCATTCATTTTGTTCTTGTATGAACTGATTGCGTTTGGCTTTGCTTGGGTAATGTTATTTCAAAACAAATCCGATCCAAGCAGTTTAGTCCAGCCTATCAAATGTCATAATCCTTGTACTTGTTAAAGTATTTTAAATAATATACTTACTGAATAAATTACAGTATATATGACAAGCTGATGAAGTAAAGACAATGAAGAAAGAAGTTGCTAGGAGATTGTGTAAATGAGGGGCCACATAAAATAAATAAAATTCTGGTGCCTAAAATCCTTTCAGCACATTTTTCTGTGGCAGCTGCTCTCTGTCAGGCACTAAACTAGAAGGCAAACAGAGGAGAGCCTCACAGATAACCCCGAGACCACTAGAGAAACTCTTCTTCTTTTTTTTTTTTATGACAGATTACTCCTTTTCTTGAACTTTTATGATTCTTATCATGAGTGAGTGTGAGTTTACTACAGAGTACCTGTCTAGTGCAGACAGTTGGTGACTCATCTCTAAATTAGAATGGTTAGATCTAAAACTCACTGTGCTGGCTCTCATACCTGCCTGCTATATATTGTAAATCTTAATTCTGGACAGCTTAACAGCACAATATTTATTTTAAAGAGAATAAAATGTTAATAAGCCATCTTTTCATGTAATTAGTGGTAGATTATTCAGTTGCTTTGTTTTCTCCTTTATCCTGTATGCATATATTTTATACATATATATCTTAACAAGAACAAAAAAGTGGCCATAGGGCCTGAGGGGTTATCTCAGAGCCAGAGCATGTTTGAGGCCCTCAGGTCAATCTTCGGCAACAAAAATAAGGAGATGGATATTGGGGTTCATGCTTTTGTTCCTGGCACTAAGTAGACAGATGCAAGGGGATCAGAAAGTTCAAAGATAGCCTGGTCTATACCAAGACTAGCCAGTTGGGCACCAGCCAGGGCTACAAAGCGAGAGCCTATCTTAAACAGTCAAAATAAAAGGTGGCCCAGATACTCCTGAAAACCAATATTTCTGATAAAAGCTGTGTTATGAAAGGGTATATGGCCAGGCCTAATGTCATATACTTATAATCCCAGCACTTGGGAAGTAGATACTATAAAAATCAGAAGTTCAAGGTCTGCTACATAGTGAGTTTGAAGCCAGCCTGGGCTGCAGGAGACCTTGTCAAATAAATAAATAAATAAATAAATAAATAAATAAATGCCTTTATAGCTGGGTCAAGTTTAGTGGTAAAGCATTTGCCTACTATATGTACGACACTAAGTCCATTCAGTCTAGGACAGTGGGTCACAACCTGTGGGTAATTACCCCTTTGGGGGTCGAATGACCATTTCATGGGGGAGGGGTGTCACCTAAGACCATTAGAAAACATATTTACATTGTGATTCATAACAGTAGCAAAACTACAGTTATGAAGTAGCAACAAAAACACTTTCATGGTTGAGAGTCACCACAACTATATTTAAGGGTCACAGCAGTAAGGTTGAGAACCACTGGTCAGATACAGCTCATTGGTAGATTGCTTAGCATACAGAAGATCCTAGATTCCATTTCTAGCACAGCACAAGAAATGAAGACAAGAAAAAGGTAAATGGCTCAACATAGTGGCTTAACCCCAGAACTTGGAAAACAGAGAAGTATTGCCATGAGTTTGAGACCAATCTGATTTGCCATACACAATGAAATCTAGGCTAGCCTGGAAAGAGTGAATGAAATGAGACACTTTCTATAAAAAAAAAAAACAACAAAAAAAAAACAAGCTGGGCATACTTTTTATCCTAGCACTTGAGAAAGCAGAGGCACGTAGGTTACTGTAAGTTTGAGACCAGCCTGGTCTATATACTAAATTCCAGGTAAGTACTAACTTGTTTGTAGATTTTAGAAAGAAGCAATACATAGAAAAAGCAGGGACGTTAAGTTCAAACCTAGGTCTACACTATAACAATGCTAGGTTATTAGGAATGAGATTGGGGGTGAGATTGAGGGTGTAGTGCTCCTACAACGCATAGAATGCCCTACATAACCAAAAATATGTAGACTTTTTTATTCTACACCAACCAAATTCAGCACCTTTGGGTATCCTACAATTGATTTTAGTTCGCAAGCTTACCTACTTGGACTTAGCATCAGATGTCACAGGTAAAAGGATTCAGCCTTACAAGGCTACCCCACATCAGATGTCAGTTACAAGTACCAAGTTCTAACTATTTATCTGTGGGCTGTGAGGGGCAGCTGGGTACCTGTCAAGCACAAGATTTAAACCCCGGAAATCCTCTGGGACAGTAGGAGTTTGGCAGGCTCCTGGGCCCCTGCCTCCTTTCACATAGTTACAGCCCCCCACAGAGAAGTCTGTGGCCATCAGTCATGTAGGAGCAGTATCTATACTTGTAGATAAGGTATCCCCAAGCTCTCAGACCAAGCCTATAGGTACCTGTTGCTAGACCCTGACCCACCTCAAAACTGTATATAAGAATCCTATCCAGAAGGAATAAAGGTGTGCGAGAATTACTCTGTCGTCTGAGAGCTTCTGTCATAAGAGCTGTGACTCTGCCACTTGGGAAGAGATCTGCTCTCCTGAACCACCTTCAGGAGCTTCCCCGCACTCCTTGCTGGCTCAGCTTGGCCAAACTCAGTGCAAAGCTTCTTGGAACAACTGAAGTGCCAACAGCAGAGACAGAGGCGGAAGCAGCTGCAGCAGGGAAGTGTCAGAGGCAATTCCCCTCCCTGTTTGCACTCTCTACCCTTTGCCTGAACCTTCAGCGGCTGGGCCAGAGAGCTCCATGGAAAGCCTCCAGCATACAGACCCTCATATATATACATATATACATATATATATGTACACACACACACACATATACACACACACACACACACACACACACACATATATATATATGTCTATTTGTCTGTATATGTACCACATACAGTTACAGAAAGTTGGGAGTTATCTAAAGTGGGTGGTTGCTGGTCCTCCGTAACAAAAGCAAGTGTTTTTTTGTTGTTGTTGTTTTTGTTTTTTTCGAGACAGCGTTTCTCTGTGTAGTCCTGGCTGTCCTGAAACTCACTCTGTAGCCCAGGCTGGCCTCGAACTCAGAAATCCACCTGCCTCTGCCTCCCAAGTGCTGGGATTAAAGGCGTGTGCCACCACCGCCCAGCAAAAGCAAGTGTTCTTAACCACTGAGCCATCTCTCAAGTCTCTGGATTCTAAAACCTTCAACCAGACAGCTATAAATCAGAGTCTCCAGACCTACTACTTGGTCGCAAAAGTTTGCTAAAATGGTTTACAGAACTCTGGTAAATAGTTTACCAGTTATAAAGGAGACAAGCACTGATACAGTCAAATGAGGTAAATAAAGCAAGGAGGTTGGGATAGAGTTCAGTTTCCACACCCGATACTTCCTCAGTCTAATAATGTGGACACTCTTCAAATCTCAAGAATTTAAAAGTTTCTCTGGAGCTTGATACCCACCTACCTCTAATACACGGGGTTGTAATTTTTTCAGCATAAATACTGAAAGCAAGCTATATTCTAAGCTACTCCTGGTTTTTCAGGCTGTGCCTTGCCCTGAGAGACTTCATTTTATAAGCAACATTTGAGTAGGAACAAAGACAGAAGGGTGACTCTGTACCTTGTAGGCATGCAAACAACACAATCCATCCAGCACCACCCATAAGGCACAACTGATAACATAAAAAGAATATCACCCTATGATTTTATCAAATTAATATCACACACAAGTATATGTGTTAAAATTGTACCAAGAAATTCAGCAAGAACTTACTGAACTTGCTAAACTGAGGAAGAAGTGTGGCAACCTAATTTGGATCCAGTTAGAGGAGGATACCTTTAATAACCCTGAAGGTAACAACCCCATCAGTCTGTCATCTGCTTATCTGAAAACTAAAGTATTCGTGAGTTTATTGCTATCCAATTAATTCTCACATATAGGAAGATAAGCATGTTCATCTGTCTCTGACATACAATCATGAGAAAGTGTACTCCAGTGGTCTCAAGTGAACAACAAAAAGCCTTCCTGTCACTTGAAAAATCCCCAGGGTCTTAAGAGCTTTGATCAGAATATAGAATATAAAGACCAAATATATACAGAGGTGGGGAAGGGGCTTAGGAGTCAGCCTTGTGTATCCAGTTCACCTTCAACTTCTCTGAGGATGAGGGCTAGTCCAGATATGCCTGTATCCCTTCTAGATTGTGTTTTCCTACCTAGTCCATGGAGACTTATGTGCTCTCTAAATGCTTAGCTTCTGACTTGATAAGCAGCTGAATTATTAAGATGGCAGGATGATTCAGCTCCAACATACCTAATGTGCTTTGAGAAGGCTTTCTCCAAGTACCGTTTCTGTTAAATTGGGTACTACTCCATACCTACCAAATTGAATTGGTTAGAACAGAGTTTAAGAACCTGTTTTGGTTTGGTTTGGTTTTGGTTTTTCGAGACAGGGTTTCTCTGTGTAGTTCTGGCTGTCCTGGAACTCACTCTGTAGACCAGGCTGGCCTCGAACTCAGAAATCCGCCTGCCTCTGCCTCCCAAGTGCTGGGATTAAAGGCATGCGCCACCACTGCCCGGCAGAACCTGTGTTTCAAATGAACTTAGATTCTGTTTTTGGTACCAACTGATTTGATCTGATTTTGATACCAACTAAATCTCAGTGTTTTAAATACACATACACGCTAAATTAATAAATGCAAATATTAATAAATCCACCAGTGAGTCAGTGGTTAAGAATCACTGACTTAGGATCTTTACTTCCAGTGATTTAACATATGCTAAACCCTCCAAATTAGAGTGTCAGAAATTAAAGCCAGGGGGTGGTGGCGCACGCCTTTAATCCCAGCACTTGGGAAGCAGAGGCAGGCGGATTTCTGAGTTCGAGAGTTCGAGGCTAGCCTGGTCTACAGAGTGAGTTCCAGAACAGCCAGGGCTATATATAGAGAAACCCTGTCTCGAAAAACCAAAAAAAAAAAAAGTAAAAAATAAAAGAAATTAATAGCT